GGGGGGGGGGGGGCTGTTCTTCTGCTGGCCTGGGGAATTTTCATGTGGAAGAGGCCGGGGAGTACAGGAGGTTGTACAAATTGGGGAGTGTAATGAACACATTTGTAATCACCTCAGAAGTTGTCACCTCACGAGGTTTACCATCAACGACAGTGAACTTATACTTGTCAGAGCAGGGCACTTTAATGCTACCCAGGAACAGCTGACAAACATGACTATCCAGTCTGTTATTAGATCAGTTTCAATTGGGTCTATCCACTAAGCTATGATATCAGTGGATAGACTTATCAAAAATGAAGGAAATAGACAAATTGGCTAACGTTGTTTACATCGTTGCTACCCAATTCACAGCTTTGGATAACTCACAGCTTTGGATAACTCACATGCCTAGTTACTATTGTTCTAGTTTACAGAAACATGGACTGAATAGAACAAAAGTAACTAAACATTAAACTTATGTATTAAGAGTTAGTTACCTTTGTTCTATTTTATGCTTTTGTAATCTAGAACAATAGTAACTAAGCATGTGGGTTATATAAAGTTGTGAATTGGGTATAAACAAACGTTACCCAAATTTGTCTCATCGAGCGAAACCTGGGTCATTACACGTATATATTTTTATAAAAATAGCAACCCCTCGGCTAAACAGGATTCTGATTATCATATTGAGCGAGATCAAATTTAAGGGAATTTCTGCAAAGTGCATTAAACCATGTTACCTGTAGCACTATTTTATGACCTAAATATCGCACAGAGACACTTATGTTCGTTTTCTACTCACATTGGTCGTTCAGACATGCACCTCTCGCCGTGTGGGAGCGGCATATCAAGGTCATAATCGGGAGATTATGGTATTGTGTCAATGTTTCTGACGAAGTTCTTATTATATTACCAATATATATTTAATAACATTAGAATATATCAGGGTCGTGGACACCAGCAGAATCGTAACTGTACTACTGTATGTGTAAGTGTAATTAGTGCAAGTGTAAGTAATTAAGTGTAAATCAACCTCGTACCCAGAGCAATGCCTGTGCGAGGGCTAGGTTGGCATTTGCTCTGGAGAAATTGACAACCGGAACCCCTAAATTTAGGGGTTCCGGTTCTTTGTCGGCATGCACGATTGATAAACGTTAAACCAATCACAGCACTGGAAATATTCAATTTCCCCAGAGCCAATGCCATCGTAGCCCGCGCACAGGCATTGTTCTGGGTATGAGATTGAGTGTAAATGTAAAGCA